CTTGGTCCTGTACACAGAGAAACATCCCACTTATTTTTTGTATCTTTGTTATCATGCTGTTTTCATTTGTTTCTTCCTCTCTATTTTTTTTCTCATTCTTTGTTTAACAAAATTAGAGGCATTTTCCCTTTTATTGTTGTAGAAGTACCAGGACTATAGTATGGATACACTTTTAGAACGGAGCGAGAAGTAAAAACATAATTGTAGGTAGTGAATTCTGTGTTATGCCACACTAATTCTCCTCTTGTTGTCAGTGATACCTCCAGTCAGTTTATTTTTTGGATCATTAGATATCTTGAATTTGGAAAGAACTGTTGAATCATATAATTAGGAAAGGTATTCTCTGTATTTTTATTGCCTTTGCCTATTGTTTCATTTTATGAAAGTAATAGTTTGCTGTGATTTTTAAGAGCAAATATGAAGTCACAGGTTCAGTAGCAGGGAAATGATATAGAAAGAAAAAAAAATGGATTTGGATTGAATGTTTAAGACTCTATACATGTAAATTGCATGTATAGAGGCACACCTTTATGGACATTTTTTGGTGTAGTGTACTGATAGTTTGTTCAAAAACAACTTTGTATTCTATAGAGAGAAAGTGATGTGGATTAATATGCACTGCCTGTGATGATCTTATTTCAATAGGCATAACTCCATGAAAACTTATTGAAATTCTTTGTATTCCCATTATATTGTTATAGACCCTAGAAGGGGCTAGCAGACATGGTAAATGTTTCTTTATTGGATAATAGTTTTCTATCTCATTCTTGCACTAGCTCAGAATATTAGGTAAAGAAACTGCATAGATATTGCTGGATATGATAAAGGAATGATCATCAATATGAATGTTAACGGTGGATATATTTACAGGCATTTTTGTGTTGGAGCAGCAGCAATGTCACGGCCAAAGGTTCTCATCACACGGGCTGACATCCCACAGAAAGCTTTGGACATGCTCAATGAAAAGTAAGTGTGAGATGAACCATTTGTTATATTGATTATATTTTTTAACTTTTGGAGGTGTGCTAAAGATGGAGGTATAATTTTATTGTAAGAATTGTTTGATAGTTTTATCTCCCCTTTATTTGTTTTTCAGGAAAGGGTGAATGGATTTTTTTTTCTTATGTGTGGCACACTTATTGTATATATAATGACATATGTTTGAATTAAGTATATTTGATAATCATATTATGTTTCATATTTGCTTGATTTTGGTAGTCAATATATATCATCTGAGCGCTTGGGTTTGAGTAAACTCTTGATTTACGAAGCCTTTTACATAGGGGATTTGATGGAAGAACACTATGGTGATAGGGCTTGATTTATTTTTTATATGATATTATGCAACAGCCTAGGCGTTGTGGCTAGGCCTAAGCAATGCACAGCCAGCCCACCTGCTGTGAGTCATTTAGGGTTTACATGTCATAGGCTGTTATGTCATGATGGCTATAGCTGCACCTGTCACTGAGGAGATACGTAGCTTAATCATGGGATGAAATGAATAGCTTAATCCAGAAACAGATACATGCTAATTACAGGTAAAATTAGATGGACTACTACTAAACTCCAAAACAGAGCATTTTATATAAAAATGGCTTTATCAGAATGTAAGAAAATTGAAAGCTTAAAGCCATATGCTATTATAAACTAAGTACTAACAAATTTTACTGTAATATGCAAAGCTAAAAAAACTGGTCAAATATCTCTAAAAGTGGTTAGACTTATAACCATTTCCAATATTTTAAGTAAATTCACATATTGCTGAATTCATGTAGCAGCTTTACTTATCCTTTGGTTATTGCATGTAGCTTCCTGCTTAATGTTGAATTAACATGATTTGGATGGTAGACAATGATGCTGACTCCCCCCTCCCCTGTGTGAAAAAGTTTTTTTTTCCTGTGTTGATACAGCTTGTGCTGTTAACTCAAGAAGTACGTGGTTGTTAGGTGTTTTGTAGTGTATTAGATGTGTACATAAGTGGGTTAAGGCACATTTAGAAAAAAGAAATGTCTGTTCGTACCCTCAGTAGGCCAGTTCTGACTGTCATGATGAAAAATCTGAGTGATATGCTAGGTTCTTTATTAACTAAAAAGAAGAAGATTCATGTGAACAAGGGCTAAGAGGTGAGTGTGTGTGTGTGTGTGTGTGTGTGTATGTATGTGTGTGTGTTTGTGTGTGTGTGTGTTTGTGTGTGTGTGTGTGTGTGTGTGTGTGTGTGTGTGTGTGTGTGTGTGTGTGTGTGTGTGTGTGTGTGTGTGTGTGCGTGCGTGCGTGTGTGTATGTGCGTGTGTGTGCGCCTGTGTATGTGTGTGTGTGCGTGAACGTCATGTACGCTTCTGCCCATTTCCATTGACGTAAAAAAACATAGGTAGGATCTTTATCATTAACAAGTCATTAAGGGTTGTAGGTTGTGCTCTCAGCATGTTGGCAGGGAATGGATACTTATTTAGACATGCATATACATTTCAGTTGGGAAAAAGAAAATGTTACATCAGATGCT